GACGTACCTGTTTACCTGCCTGCTCAAAGACATTGCTCCAGGCACTGTGGGAAATGTGCTGCCCGTCTCATGAAGATCAAAGCCTGCCTTGCAAGTTCTGCTGCATTGTCTTCAGCCGATCTTCATCTGGTCCATCGCCTGTCCTGGCACTTTGTGGATCCTGTCATGCCTTGCCTGGTTCCGCTGGCTGGGCCCAGTTTGCTCAGCGGGCGTGTTTACCATGGCTGCGTTTCTGGAGGTGCAGGTCAAACTCCATAAATCTGAGACTGCTGGTTTGGGCTCCGCAGTCAACTTCTCCTCCAGCTGTGGTTCCTACAAGAATGGCCCTGCTAAATGCCAGGTTCCTGGCTAATAAAACTTTCATCTTGAATTACTTTTTATGCTCCAGAGGACTGGACTTCCTGCTTGTGACCAGTGATGCTGGAAAGGGTGGGAGGGGGGTGTAGCGCCCCCCCCCCCCCCCACACACACACACACTTTACGGCAATGCTCATCACTGGTCCCACACATTTAGACGGGCTACACCCAACGCCAACAAGCCGTGACTGACATCTGTGTGTGTGTGTGTGTGTGTGTGTCTACATACAGACAGAGGAACAGGCAAAACCTACAGCATTCAGATCTGGGCCAAATCCATTTACAAGTCACCAGATCTGCATAACCGTCAACCAGAGAGTTTACGCACATGCATCAGCTCTGAGTCGGGCTGGGATCATGAGCCTGCCTGACACCTGCAAAAAATGTTTTGGCTCTGATCCGTCCGGATCTGGACCAAATCAGCCTCAAAATGGAATAAGAATTATATATTTGTGCCACATCATTTATCAGCTGATAACTTTTGGTGTCAGGGTACAAATAATTGTGCAGATAGTTTGTCATTTTTGCTCTTCCAAAGCCAGCTGGAGTTTGACACTGCGCTGCGATGGCAGGTCGCTTTGGAGAAAATTTTGCAAGAGGAAGAGAAGAAGAGAACTTACCTTCTCATCTCTGAAATAACAGAAGAAAAAGTAATCGGGCCATTACTGGTCCACGCGGCCACTGTTCCCCAGAACCAGTGGGTTCTGGAAGGTGTCCCGGCCTATGTTGGTGCCGCTAGGCGGGCTGTGCTGGTAGGAGAAGCCGTGCGGGGGGGTGGGGGCTGCCGGGGGCGAAGGAAGAGCCATCCACAGTGCTTTGGGTCCAGCCGGAGGGGGGGGGGGGGGGGTTGCAGGTCTGGAGGTATAGGGCAGGGTGGGCATGGCGGGGACTCTGGCGGTGGGGACACAAACCAGGGAGCTGGAGGGTGTGGTTGTAGCTTCTGGTGCCATGGGGGTAGGGGGGTTGGGAGGAGGATAGACTCAGGCTCTGATATATCTGGATCCTTTCAGAAACTCAGAACCAAAAATAAGTAAATTTCTCCTCATCCTCAGAAGCAACAGCTCCAAAACTGAATGTTGTTTCAGTCAAACTTGTTGCGCTAAAGTCCGGAGAAAGAAAGAAGGACCCGGATCAGTCCAAACACTTTAATCAGAGATCAGAACCTGCAGCTTCCCCATCAATCCAGAACCAGAACCAGAGTCAATCCCCAAACATCTCCTCTCTCTGAACTCTGATCAGGTCTCCCATTGCGCATGCTCGTGAGCTTTTTCTTTTTATCGCACTAGATAAGATGATAAAGCTGTCCAGGTCCAGCAGGCTCCAGGACGGGCCAAGGCTCTCCAACAGGCACTGTGTGTAAAATCTGCGAGTAAAGATTGGAGATGGAGCCCAAACTGTTGATCCGATGTTTCTTTTTCTTCCAACAGCGATGATGAGCGGGTGACACACAAAAGAGACGCTATTCATTTCACTAATAACACACTTTATTATTGATAAACAGAAAAATATTTATCTACAGCACTCTGTGAATAAAAGAACACCTTTTTCATGACTGCAGTTTGTTACATATACCTGTATACCTGTATATATTTTTTCATTTTCAAAAGAAAGACTTTTGTTGCAAACTTTTCCAAATCTGATGACTGTGACAGTACTCATTTATATTACTGTGTGGCAAAACTGAACATGTGTGCATGACATTCAAGGTGCACATGAACAGAGAGTGCAAGGTGAGGAAAGACCCTCCCCCACACACATCTCAAAAATGAATCCGGCGCCGCTTGTGACAGAGACCTGGCTCTGCTCTGGTGAGTTCACTGCCTGTTCAGAGCTTCTGCCTCTGGGCTGCTCTTTTTTAAATGCTCCAAGAACATCTGGTAGAGGTGGAGGAATTGTGACTGTTTTTTAAAAACTTTGGAACTGCAGACAGCTCCAGCCACCAGTAAACTATTTGAGTTTTGAATTTCATGGGACAGAGTGAGATTGAGAAGGATGACTCACTGTGATGACCCCTGAAGGGGTAAAAGCCGAAAGAAGAAGAAGAACTGCTTTTTTTTTTTTAGCTGGGTCGCTCCAATCTGGTTATGTGAGCTGTGATTTACAGACTTTCCAAATACAACATGGATTTTATGAATGATCTCTCTGACTTTTTAATGGGAATATTACTCAGATATGACCGGGTTTTAATTGTATTGGATTTTAATATCCACGTCTGCTGCCCTGAAAAGCCTTTTGCTAAGGAGTTTTTAGATCTTATCCAGTCTTTTAACTTTGGGCAAAATGTTGTGGGCTCCACTCATCAGTAGGGTCATGCACTTGATTTAGTTTTATCATATAATTTATCTGTTTTTAATTTAGAAATTGGGGATGCTGTTTTTTCTGGCCACAAACCCATTTCACTCGACACCTCTCTTGTCTGTGAGTCTAAATATCCCACTCCAGTTAGGCCTAGTTAGATATTCAACTTTTCCAGTGCTGCTTTCTTCACCTTTGCCTTTACTCGTAACTCTGTCTCTGAATCCTCTATATCTATCAGTACTCATGAGCTTATCACTAAGCATCAGGAGACCTGTGTTAAGATCTTAGACTTAGTGGACCCGTTAAAAATCAGGCAACTAAAGCGCACACCTCACCCTTGGTTAAATGAGACCACCCAATCAGCCAGACGGCAGTGCAGGAAAGCTGAGCGCAAATGGAAGAAGGACAAACTGCATGTTTCTTTTATTATGTTAAAATATGTTGGAAAGGCTAATCAGACCACTGTTAAATAAAAGAAAAAAATTAAGATTTCTCCCAAATCTTTACTTCAAATTTTCATAATCCCCATGTTGTTTTTAACACCATAAACTCCATTTTAAATGTGCCTCAGTCTGCCAGTATGGAGGCCTCTGTAGACAATTGTAAAGAATTTACCAGATACTTTGTTGAAAGGGTTGAGTTGATAAAGTCATCGATCCCTCACTCCACAGCTGTCCCCTCTGTCTTTGTCCCTTGCCCAGCTGCCTTCAATCAGTTTGAACCCATTTCAATCTCATTTTGAAATTATGTTGGTCATATGAAACCTTCAGGTTTCCCTGCTGACCCCATCCCTGCAGCCTTTTTTAAATAAGCTCTACCCTCGATTGGACCCTCTGTTCTTGCTATTATAAATAGCAGTATGGCTACACGTGTGGTTTGAGATGTTTGTTGAAACATGCAGTAGTAAATCCATTAATTAAAAAACCTACACTTCTCCCTTCAACTTGCTCAAATTTCAGACCAATTTCAAAACTTTCTTTTCTTTCTAAAATCCTGGAGAAGATAATTTTTTTTCAACTAAACAAATTATTAAATGAGAATGGAATTTCGGAGATATTTCAGTTTGGTTTTAAACAATTGCACAGCACCAAAACAGCTTTGGCGATAGTTTGTAATGGGCGGTTGTGGCTGAGTGGTTAGAGCAGTCGTCCTCCAATGCAAGAGTTGGGGATTCAAATCCACCAGCAGTCACATGCCAAAGTGTCCCTGGGCAAAACACTGAACCCCTCATTGCCTCTGATGTGTGCCCCATCGGTGTATGAATGTGATAAAGCTCTGATTAGTCTCTTTAGAATGATTTGTTCAATTAGCTTTGTATAAATCTAGTATAGTGCTGTATGAATGGGTAAATGAGGCACAGAGTGTGTTGTAAAGCGCTTTGAGTATCTTGAGTAGCTAGAAAGGTGCTATATAAGTACAGTCCGTTTGTAATGACATTCTGTTAGCAAATGTTTCTGGTCAGTTTGTGATCCTTATACTCATGGACCTTACAGCTGCTTTTGATACTGCTGACCATAGTATCCTTACATTGGGTTGGGATTACAGGTGCAGCATTAGAATGGTTCCGTTCTTATCTGAGTGACAGGAGTTTCTGTGTTAAGGTTCGAAATAGTTTATCTGCTTCAGTGCCTCTTTCCTGCGGGGTCTCACAGGGCTAGATTCTTGAACCCCTCCTATTTTCACTTTATCTGCTCCCCTTGTGGTCTATCCTGAGGAAATAAAGTCTCCAACATTAGACAGGCAACTTCACTTCCTATTTTTAAATCTCTGCTAAAAACACACCTGTTTTCTCTGGCTTTTTACACAGTGTTATTTGAATTAGTATTGTATTGTTGCGTTTTTACAATTTTCGTTTGATGCTTTTAATTAATTTTTCAGTACTATCATTATTTTAATTTTTATTTTCGTTCTTTATTGTTAAGCACTTTGGTAACAGCTGCTGTTTTAAATGTGCTTTAAATATAAAGTTGACTTGACTAACTCTGAAAAGTGCTTCACCATTAGCAGTAAGATGGTATTTTAGTATCAAAAGGTAAAGTGTATCAAACACAAAATCAAGTATGAAATCCAATTTTGTATATAAAATCTAAAATTTGAACTAATCCCCAAATATTTAGCTACAAAAATCATATGAAATCCAAAATTACTTATGACACCCAATAAATATCAAACCCAAAAGTATTGTGAGAAAGAAAGGGAGTCAAATAAATCAAACGAAGACAACCAGGTAAAAGATAAATAGTTTATGTGAAACGTTCACATAGCGTTTACCTTGACTTTATACATACGATATACAGTAGGTCTTTTTTTTTTTTTTTTTTACAGTTTAATAATGTGGGAGGGGGGATGTCAGCATGCACTTTAAGGCTGCACAAATACACACGTAAAACTAGAATTTCCCCCACTGTAAAACATAGAAAAACGTGATCTTGGATCAAAAGCTTTGACTGTTTCAGGACAAGATGGAGAAGCACAGCATTGGACTATCATGACTCTTACAGTAAGACACAAAAATACACGTTTTGGATAAAAAAAAATAAACTTTTTTTTGTTTGTTTTCAAGTTACAACATCAGTTCAGAAATATACAAGAACAGTTCCCCTTTGACGGATCAAAGAGTAAAGCAGCGTGTTTACTACGACACAAGATGATACTGGAACAGCTAGCCTGGAACTGTGCAGGTCGCTACCAACGTGCCACACAAGTTGTGCCAATTGTCAGTTTTGCCCAGCTTTGCTTTTCTTTCAACCTTCTCTATAACGGGCTACTGAAATCACAGTGTGAATCGGTGCATTTAGTTTTGGGTGCTTATTGCAAATTAGATCTGATTGTTTGGGTTCACAAGAGTGCTACTGTGCAGGTAGTAGCCATTCTAGAAGTCCTGCTGTATAACTTGATACATTTCTGCTACACTTTTGCTCCATTCCCACATGGGGAAAAGGTTTGGAAGAATCAAGTCATGCAGTTGTGTTTTTTATTTGTACTTTTGTAGCCACCAAAATTATGAGGATTATTCCAGTAAGAATAATTTGGTTTGCTAATAGATCTGCAGCACTAATGCAGGGTACTTGCATGTTCAACGAACAAAACAACAAAAAAGAAAGAGGACTTCTACAATAGCTGCTGCACCACAGGGGAGATTTGTCATTGGCTTTGTGCTAAAACTAACTGGAAGATTCAGCATCATGTCCTCTCACTGATCTTCCCTCGCCTGGTCTTTTCAAACTATAGATCTCAACACATATTAATGCACAGCAGAGCGATTAACCTACCAATCAGAACAAAAGCAGAGATGATTGTGGTGTCAGATTTATTCATCTGAACACGTTTGTCTCTCTACACTGTGTACACCTTAGAGGTTCCTATATAAATACACTTCACAAAGTGCCTCGACTGATACACCTTAATACACTTATTGAGAGGAAGGGGGGACCACAGCAAGAAAAATGACTGATGTTAAATGTCAAGGTGCAACTTAGCCGCCACCTTGTTGTGTGAGCGAAGCCACTTGTGCCGCCGTTTATTTTATTTATTCACAGGAGCATTGTCTATCATGTAGATAGTCTAGTTATTTCCTCCCACCAGTTCCAAAAAAGGAACTCGGACCCCTCGAAAAAAGGGGTTAACTCAGAAAAATGTCACGGCCTATTAAAGTCTTTCAAGAGTTCTTGTTCCTGGCCTGCTGGCTGAGCCTTGATCCGAGTGGTTCTTGGTCTGTAGCTTTAGAGCGCCCTCTTCCATGCTGGCCAGTCGGAGCGGTCTCCAAAAGGGGCTCCTCCACTGCAACAGGTCGTCAGTACTGATCACGGTCTTATCCCACAAGACATGAACGAGCTCAGTAAAACACAAACATATCTCTAAATATAATAAATATATTCCCTGCTTGCATCATTACAGAAGACCATCATGCACAGATCCGTTGAATTAAATGCACAATGAGAACCGTACAAGTTGATGATGTGACATGAGCTTATCTAATAAAACTGTTGTACATTTCAGTCATTTAGGGTGTGAACTGTGTTTAAAAACATAAAGAAATGTTTGCAGGAGCAGTTTGACTTTTTGTTGTTTTCCAAACTGAGTGTAAGATGCATCTTGCTGTGAGCCAGTTGCTAGGCAACCTTGTGCTGCTGGTACACACTTCAGGGATGGGTGAGGCAGACTGCTGCTTGGTTACGTCTGCTGCCCCTCACCTGTTGATGTGCAGAGGATGTGTGTACCTTTCACTCTGGAACAATCTAATCAGTGACACAACACAGCTTTCCAGGAAAGCAAAACGACCGCCTCAGTTTAATTCATAAAAAAAAATCCTTGAAGTTATTTTATTTGAATTCAGGTCTTTTTGTTAAATCTTGTATAAGAACAGTTCCTAGCCCTTACTTACAGCTGATAATATGTGTGGTGTACAGCAGAAGCTCAAAATGTTGTGCAAAGAGTAAAGAAGTGAGGGGTTAAAATGTGTTAATGCACAACCTCTTTAATTATAGTCTCAGGCCCAGAGTCACTAATGGTTTATGCAGCTTTTATCAGCAACAGTTTTCCATTTTCCACAATAGTTTAATGAATAAAATTCTTGCAAAATGACATTTGTGTCTCCATCCTGACACGTCATGCACACAAAGACAGACAAATCTGCTTTTATCATTTCATTAAAATAAATAAGAAAACATAATGGTCACTAAGAACTTGAAAATGACAAATATATTAAAAAGAAAAAGATAACCAATGAAAATCAGTAACTGTTCATACGGACGAGGATTGGACCAGGGAGCTATAATTTTTTTTCTCCTTAATTCTGAGCAGTATTTGAGAGAAAAGACAGAATTCTGAGATTAACTTCTGACTTTAATCTCAGAATTCTGAGATTAAATTCTGACTAATCTCAGAATTCTGACTTTTTCTTCTCAGAAATAAGGGGGATTTTTTTGCACCATGGCTCTAATCCTTCTCCATATGTTTGAATAGTGCTTGAACAGAAACAAACAAAACAAAATAAAACAGGCCTATGGGCACTGAGTGACTATATAAAGTTCCTCTGTTCTTCATCTGCTCCAGTAAGACTTGAAGTCACTGTGATTAAAAAAAAAAATCTGTCAGCTACTTTAGCACCTGCTGCGCTTGTGACAGACAGTTACATTTAGGTTGTGCAGGAAAGACACCTGCATCCCGCTGAGTTCTGCTGCAGACTGCTCCACCTGTTGAACCTGGCGGCCATGTTTGCTCCAACATTGAAGCTATTTGTTTTGTGAATATTAAGGAAAAAGTGGATAAAACAGACAATTATGAAGCTAAGCTGGCGCAGTTGGCACTCAGTAGTGAATCTGGGTCTAATTTATTTTTAATATTATATTTATAGAACATCAATATGTCAGTATTTGGTTAAATAAAATGCTACATGACTCCTTTATGATTGTGCTTGTTCTGATGGGCACACATGTTATGATTAATGGATAACTCTCAGTTTCGTACAGACACACAAAAGCATCAAGCAGGGACTGCAAGATCCTCACACCCCTTCAGATGGTTACCTTTCTGCCATGGTCGTTCCTCCCCCCGCAGCCGTTAAGATAGAACGCTGCTGTCTGCTTGTGTGAAACCCGTATAAACCACCTCTTTGTAGTTGTCTGTTCGTAAACAACCAGAAACACAAAAGCTTTGGTGGCACTCAGTCAAAGAAAATACAAGTGAACATAAGTTTGTCACAATACCATTGAATTGATACAATTTGAACAAATATAAAACAAGATCCCCCCCTCCCCCCCAATCACATTGTTTGCCAAAGATGGCTACCCCATGATCCATGCATGATGAGCAGGCTCAGCCACTGGTGAAGAGACGAGACCAGATGTGTGCTTGGGTGAGCTGAAAGCTAAAATGTGACAAATCGATCCTCCCTCCTTCCGCCCATCCACCAAACCGTAAAATAAAGTCACAGTTAGACGTGGTTAACATAAAGTGACATCTCTCTCTCTCTCTCCTTGTTTTTTGGAAGCACATCTTTTTCAAAGTATCTCGATACAGCAACATCTAATATCCCTGATTATTCACAAGTTTAAATTAATGTGTATGGCTGTTACCTCTGAAGCCATTAGTCTTTTATTGCAAATCTCAAAGTACAACATCAACCAAAATGGAACACATCAGAGCAATTAAGCTACTTAGGGATATTGGTTAGGTACATATACCGTCATGTGTAAAAATAAAAACTTGCTTGATCTCCCAGGTTTTGTAACATAAGTCTGAGCTGCAGAGTTAGCTACTTTTCCTCCAGTCCCATCATGAGCAGAGTTCAGGTTTGTTGCCAAAGGCAAGTGCTCTGTTTAGGACTAGGATGTGGGCGTGGCTTTGGGCCAAAGCAGGCAGGAAGTGGGCGTCTCACAGGATGGATGGAATAGGGGAACGAGAGCGGCGCAGCGGGCAGGGTGATCCGTAGGGCGAGGTCACAGGAGATAACCTTAGAGTGTTACCAGCCATGCTGGTCATGCCTGCTATGTTGTTTAAACTTCGGGATTTCTCATAGCCTTCAGATGATGGGAGGGGCGACAAAAGGCGGTAGTGGTGGTGGTTGTGCAGGAACAGGACATGAACACACACAGGCAGGCAGGCAGGCAATGATCCGAGTCCGAGCCGGCCAATTGAACCAAGACAAAACAGGAGACATGAGTGAGACAGAGCAACGGTAACAATGTGCACGGTGAGTGCATGCACACAACATTTCCTAACATGGACTGTGAGGCAAATTGAACTTGTGTGTGAACAACTGGAGGTGCTTTGGACAGAAAAATAACCTTAATGGCTGAATAGGTCAAACTAGAATCCAAAGATCTACTGGATCATCAAATTTATATTAAAACCCCCACAAACAGCTTCACTCATAAAATAGAAACATAAAGCAGTTTTATTATACTTCATTATAGAATAACATCAACAAGTAATAAAATGTTCATTTAATTTTGGCCAACTGAGGAAAAATAATCCAACAACAGACCATTAAGTATTTCTAAATGGTCTGACATTTCTAAAATGTCAATAGGGATAGCCATAAAAACTGTCTGAAGAAATTTTGAAGGATACCAGTGCAACTCCTGCCCAAGATTTCAAATTTTTTTTGTAATTTTCCAAGATAAGAATAAATGCCTGCATTTTAATGACTGGATGGTTTAAAGTTGTAAAAAGAACCAATAAACTCAGGCCTTGTTTACACGAGAACAACCTCTGGAAACATTCGTTTTTTTCAATGTTTATTGTGGGTAATAAACAAAAAATGAGCGGGTTTACCAGAAAACGCTATAGTTTCCATGTCAGTCGGGTTGCTAGATAAGAAATTATGAACTATTTCTTGGCAGAGTGCCTTTCAGCTTGATGTGATTAAAATCACCAGCCACCACATAAAAAGCCTCTGGATGCTTATTTTGAAGTGAGCTGATGTTAACAGGTAGGTTAACAGGTTAACAGCCCAATATCCTTAGAACAACTAGATTAGACATACTGTTAATCGTGAATTGCTAAGGCTGACAAAAAAGAAAACATTGGCAATACTTATCTAATAGCATCATCATTAGTATTTTATTTCGCAAGAATAAATTTCCAAACTAAATCTTACTTATAACCAGTGGTGTCCTAAGCCAACTGCAAGTATCAGAATACCAATCAAAAGTTTTTTCGATAGGTTGATCTGCCCTGCTCTGTTCCCAACCCGTTACTGTCTTTGGTTTTACATCAGCTGTGCTGCAAGACAAAAACCTTGTTTTCGGACACACCTACATAAGTAAGATCTAAAGCAATAAATGGTAATACATTTTCAAGTGCATATAGAAACTGCTCATTCACATTGAAGCACACATTAATTATGTGTATATAGAAGATATTATAGTATGGTCATTGTGTGCATAAATCCAAGCTGCATGTACTGATGATGATTCTGATAATCTCATTTAATTATCTGTACAAATTTGCAACTTCTAAATGCTCAGACCTGTAAACAGAACGTGATATGTGCTGTCAAATTTGCACCTGGTCCAAAATAAACAAGCAAGCCAATGCAGCTGGATCGTTAATGCAGCATGCCGACCAGCTGGTGTAAACACTCATGAGGACTAGCTAATGAAAATGTTGCCTCATTAACGTATTGCATCCACTCCTGTTTGCTTCACCTAGAAGGAGGCTGTGAACTAAACTGTGGCTGTGTTAGAGCCAGTCAATCAAGCGAAACAAAGGACACCATGGATCAGCGCCTATATGTAACATAGGCTGGAGGAGCCCATCTGTTGGTCAAGGTGACTGAAACAAAGGCACAGCTGCTTTGGTACCTACAGTGTATTACTGAGATGTGTTTCTGGCAAGAAACATAGTGTGCACCCAAGGAAGGCTGAGACCCATTTGAATGTTATCATACTTAGCATGAGAAACGTTTAATACTACCTGAGTTTAATATACCGTACTTTTTGCACCATAAGGCACACCGAAAATCCTTTGATTTTTCAAAATGCGATAGTTCGCCTCATAATCCAGTCCGCTTGCATGAATTCTGGTTGTGCTTACTGACCTCAAACCGATCTTGTGTTACACGGTGCTCAAAAATCATGTCAAAATGTTTTAGTACGACTTTGGTAAGCCAAATTGCCGCTACCGTGCATTGTGGCTACATAACTGCTACCGTGCATTGTGGCTACATAACTGCTACCGTGCATTGTGGCTACATAACTGCTACCGTGCATTGTGGCTACATAACTGCTACCGTGCATTGCGGCTACCGTTGTCAGGAATCTTGTGGTACCATAGTAAGGATTCTCGCGGAGTAATACTTACGGTACTGTGCTTCAACATACTGGTACATGGTGTGTGTATAAGGACCACAAAATGGCACCTGTAAAGAGACATGTTTATGAAGAGGATTTCAAACTCAAGGCTATCAGTCACGCAGTAGAACATGGGAATAGAGCAGCTGCGAGAGAATTCGACATTAATGAATCAATGATGCAGAAGTGGAGGAAGCAAGAAGAAGACCTGTGCCAACTAAAGAAGACTCAAAAGAGTTTCCGAAGGAACAAAGCGAGATGACCACAGTTAGAGGACAAAATTGAACAGTGGGACATTGAACAGAGAACAGCATATAGAAGTGTCTCTACAGTCTCTATTCGACTCAAGGCAACAGTGATAGCACATGACATGAACATCAATGACTTTCAAGGAGGTCCTTGTTGGTGCTTCCGTTTTATGAAAAGGCGTAATCTCTCCATCCGTACAAGAACTACCATCTCACAGTAACTGCCAAACGATTACGAATAAAAACTGGCTGTTATCTGTATCTACTGCAAGAACAAGATCACTGAAAAGAATATCCGGTCAGAACACATCACCAACATGGACAAGGTCCCCCTCATCGTTGACATCCCGGTGAACCATACGGTTGAAAAAACAGTAACCAGTACGGTATCTATACGCACCACAGGGAACAAGAAGTGATCCTTCATTGTAGTTCTCAGTTGCCAGGCTAATGGCCAGAAACTAACACTCATGGTCATTTTCAAGAGGAAGACTTTACCAAAAGAAAAGTTTCTGGCCGGCGTCATCATCAAGGTTAACCCAAAGGGCTGGATGGACAAGGAGAAGATGAGTGAGTGGCTGAAAGAAGTTTACGTCAAGAGACCGAATGGCTTTTTTCACATATCTCCATCCCTATTGATCTGCAACTCCATATGTGCCCATTTCACTGATACTGTGAAAACCCAAGTGAAGCAAACTAGTTCTGAGCTGGCCATCATTCTGGGTGGATTAACCAAGGAACTTCAAACGCTGGATATTGGTGTCAACAGGTCGTTCAAAGTTAAATTGCGATCTGCGTGGAAGCGTTGGATGACAGAAGGTGAACATACATTCACCAAGACAGGGAGGCAATGCTGGACAAGTTATGCCACTATCTGTCAATGGATCATGGATGCCTGGGCTAAGGTATCAGTCGCAAGTGTCGTCCGAGCTTTCAGGAAGGCTGGAATCATTAACAACAACAAGACTGACTCTGACAATGACGAGAGGGATCCGGGCATGCTTGATACTGAAATCGTCCAACTGTTAAACTCATATACTGAAAACGAAGAATTTGGTTAATTTGTGGAAGAGGAATAAACTGAAAAAGTGAGTGCATTGTTTTGTATTTTATGTGTTACAACTGAACAATGTTGAGAGGTATTGTGAATGCGTTGAATAAAGTTTGACTTAACTGACCATTTAGTTTGCTTCATGTGTCTTGTAATCCGGTGCGCCTTATGTAAGAAATTAGACCTGTTCATTGATGTTGCACCTTATAATCCGGTGTGCCTTATGGTGTGAAAAATACGGTACTATACTTCAGACAAAGGTTCCACAACTACATTTAAAAATACTATCTAACTGGACTGCAACTGTTGATTTGTCGGAGACTCATCATTTTGGGAAATGAGAAGATTTACCATTTTAGTCTAAATAAATTTTGGGTGTTGGTCAATATTGAGGGCGGCAGTGGTGCAGTTGGTAGAGCTGCAGCCTCTCAGCGAGAAGGTTGCCGGTTAAAATCCCAGCCCGGGACCTATCTGGCTGGAGTTTATTTGTTCTGTCCGTGCATGCGTGGGTTTTCTTTGGTTACTCT